CAGCAAAGAATCGCTAAAAAACATTAACATTAACATTCACACATTAACATTGACATTAAAGAAATCAAAAAAACAATTTTATTAAAGGTTTAATATGAGTGTGCTCAATTGTAGAGTGCAATAAAACCTCTATTGTTATTAAAATCAAATCTAGTAGTCACACATTAAAACTATCTATTTGTTTTAAATTGTTTCCCTAAAGTGTTTTTAAAATATGTAACTATTTTTTGAACTTTACTAAAACTATTTTCAGTTATTCCTTCTCTCTTATAGGTATACCTACTACTTGAAACTGAAATCCAAACACCTAGAAACAAACTTTCTCATAAATAAAATTTTGAATAGAAATTAATGTTACGAGTATCCAGGGTCAGATTACCCAACATATTATCTAGACTCTAGACTATAGCCTAGGGGTGCTAGCGAGATTGGACTGCATTGCATTAAAAATAAAGAAACAAAAAAATTGTCTATTGTAAAAAATATGTATAAATTGGAATGTTCTGGTGTCATAAATCTGAAGTCAAAAAGTCTATTTTTAATATCAACTTCAAAAATTAACTCAAGATAAGGACAAAATTCAAAAACACTAGAAATGGCGATTTCTAATCGCAAATTTAGTGTTCACTGCACCAATTTCATCTCTAAAAACAATGATTAAGAGGAAGTAACGAATGTCTATTATTATACCGGTACGTTTTTGCAACGAAGTGTGGTAACTTTGTTTTTTATTATTTCTCTAACATCCTTGACAACTTAATTATTATAAAAGCAATTTATAAATGTATTATCGAATTCATAAAAAACTAATACAGCAAAATTTTATTGGAGTAAATTGGGCTACGAAAAATGTCAAATATTACCTAACGTCTGTCATTACGACAGTTTGAATTTTTAAGTTTTTAAAGCACTAAATTTTTAAGTATGTTTTGAAAAAGACGCTAAATTGCAAATAATAGGTAGACCAACCATCAGAGACGTATTTAGGTTGTCTAGTTGACCAATTAAAATTAGTAACCATTTAACATAAAGTAAAGTGTTACACTACAAAATTTTTGAAAATTTGAGGTAATTACGACGTTTTGCTGTCCTAGTTTTTTATGAATTCGATAGTAGGTACTTTTCTGGTAATATTCAGAAATGTTTTTCAAAAATCAGTTACCTCCAATAGTTTGCAAAGTGGGGACATCATCAGTCAATAACCACCGTACATAGGTAACCCTACGGTTACCCTACAGTTACCAAGGTAAATGTAATAATCGAATCAGCAGAAAAAATATTAATATGACGTAGTGTCATTTTTATTTTTTCTGCTGATTCGATTATTACATTTATTTAATTGTATGTGGATTTTTCATTTGTAGCAATTTATAGTTTTATTTTCTGCATAAGAAACATTTTTTTCTAGGTGTTTTAAATTCAATAGCGACCAGTAAATTATTCTAGCATTTAGTAACAGCAACTGACATAAATTTTCTCTTTGCTGTAAGTGATACAAAATCAAGTTTTTTATTTTTTGTGAAAATTATAAAAAGATTTTTTTTCTAACTAGTGTACTAACGTTCGGTATTATCATTTATTGTCGAAGTACTACCTCAAAGAGACTACTGTATATTTTTTGTGGATATTTAAACATGTTAAGTAATTAATTTTAAGATTTCTCAGTTGCATCAAAAGCAAAAATCTTCACGTACTTATTTATTTACTTGCTTTTGTATTCTTTGCACCTTGTCTTGGATATGAGTAAACATTTGTTGATTCACGACTCATTTCCAATAGAAAAACGCAAACATCTCCTCTCATCCATCTATTATTCCAATTATTTTCGAGCATCCTTGGAATAAAAGGCACCATAAATCCCATTCTGTGTGCCTCTCGTCCTTGCACCAATAACCCTAAACAAACAGTAAAATCACAAAATCCGTGCAACAATAGTTGTAATAATCGGTCCCAACTTTTGGCTTACGTTGACAATCTTAAAAAATCTGACAATAGATTAAACATCTGAGGACACTCGACTTGAAAAGAATACAGGAAACATCGAAACTCAACCGTTTTGCTTATGACCGAACATCCAAGCGTGAAAACTCTAGGGGCTGTTCTTATTATATTTTTTATTTGAATTGGTCGGCCATGTGCAGAAGTGGACGGTTGTGTATAAACATCGTGTGCGTACTCGACGTGAATAAAACTAATACGGTCCTGAAGAGTCATTACCACCCTTTCGCGCCTCCGGATCGAAGCTTCAATCTCGTGCATTTTCCATTTTTAATGGAAACACAAAACCGGTTGATACTTAAAGAATAAATCAAGTCAAAGTAAATATTGAAACAAGTCTTCCGCTACTCCAGTTTCAAATAGGAATGTTTGCTTACTTTATGTTATTGAATCGGATTTTTATTTGGGTTAGGTCCCTGTCGGGTTGAGACTGTGACCATTCGAAAGCTCTCACGATCAAACGAGACCCATTCTAGCGGTCCACAGTAGCGGAATGTTCATAAAAGAAAATGCCGCAAGCCCTTTAGTTTTGGTAGTAGGTAACTATTGTGTCAATTGTTAACAATCGGGGCTGTATTTGGGGGTACGTAGAGGCGAAAGTGCGGTGGACGCTTGTGTATTGTTAGGATCGTTTGAGTTGTGCCGAAAATAAACCCAAAGCCGTTTTCAGCACTGACCGGTGCCAATATAACTTTATTACATTATAAAACAATATAATTCTACCACAAAAGGGTGCTTTCGAAAAATCCAACATTTATTGAAGATGCGGTTAGAAAGTAAGACCGAGATTTGCATTTATTCGGGGCTGTAAAATACACCACGACTAGAAATTTTGTCCTATTTTTATAACCACAAAGAAACATTTGCAGTTACAACAAAAATTTACAAAAAAAATAAAAAAATTAAAGAAAAAATTAATCATAAGTACAGTGGTTATAAATGATTTTCATCTAGCCAGCTTTGGAATTTTTTGGATGTACTTCTTCATTTGTGTAATAAATTGTTGTTAATTAAACTTTTATTGTTTTAACTAATTTCCAATAATAATTGATAATAATGTATACTTTGGAAAAAAAACAAGTTCATAATTGAAGTCTATTTTCAAAGTGGACGCTTAGTAAACGGCATTTTTTTAATTTTCAGTTAAAACAGGCAGGTACTCCTATTTTCGTAAAGCGGCATTTTGTATTTTACATGGAAAATTCACAGCTGGCTAGATGAAAATCATTTATATCCACTTTGTTTAACAAAAATCCAATACAACAGTTATAGAACAGCCTGAGCATTATGTATTTTTAAAATACCTACACCTTACTTTTTGTTTTCTAAATTTCATTACACTTTCTAAAGTTTGTTTTTTCTTTAAATGGAAATGTCAAACAGTCTTACTTAACGCTACAACTACCAGTAAATTCATTCATGGTAATTTTCATAAAAGAAGTTGGCAGTTTCGGTTTTTGATTTAATTTGAAAACAATGTCATTAAACGTCAACAAAAAAATCGTCTAAGAAAATTTAGTTTAGAAACCAGGAACATGAAAAAAATGTTAAAAAAAATATCTATAAAAATTTATGAAAGTTTAAAGTTTGCACTTTGAATCTATTTATTTCTGTTGGAGAAATAATTTTAAAAGTTTTTGCTACAGGCTATTAATAAAAGAGGAAACAAGGAAGCTATATCCTAAATTGTAACTCTGTTCAATGTTATTTTTGGCTTTTATTGGCAAAATTTTTGTACTTTTATTAAATAATTGTAAAAAAAACCTTTACAGGATCATCAGTATCCATAAATAGACATAAAAAAATGTCAAATGTCAAAAAAAATTGACAGATAGAATTTTTTAAACATTTTTTCCATGATCCTGGTTTCTTATCTTACTTAAAATTTTTCTTTGGGGCGCGAGTTCTGGCGCACCCTGTATACTATTTCAAAGGGCAAATAAGCACACAAGATTAATAAAAGTCAATATTTTTACAACATCTCAACATCATGAAAACATAACCATAATTTTTTAACAAAATTTGTAAGGACAAAAACAAAAAGCAAACAAAAGCAAAAAAAAGTTTGTGGCTATGGAGATAAACTGCTAGTAATTTTTTTACCAAAATTTTGACTTGGTGATTTCCATTTAAATAAAAAACCGACTATATTTTATTTTTCAAAAAAATCATTGCAATTTAAATAAAACAAACCATCATTACCACATTTTTAATGTTTATGAGTTTAGAGCGAATTGTTTGTACAGAAATAATTGGTGGGTGAAACCTGGGGTCAACTTTGTCCCTCGCCCTGTCAATCAGTGACTTTTTCGAAGCTAACATTTCCTTTTTCGCTGTAAAACAGCTCACATTGCGAGTCGTTTAGCAGAGCGCCCCTTCCATAACGAGCTAATAATTGCGCTTAAATAAATTAGGTAAAAATCGTGGGCATGAGTGATACGATGTTAATGATAGTGAACGCACATGGGCGCAGCCGGAAGCGCAGGTTAGCACGAACACCCACACATAAAGGCGCACTTCCGTTTAGGTAATGGTCTGAGAGAGTGATGTCTGTCGAGGACTCGTTCATTTATTATTATCCTTCCTCCCTTCTCCCGTTTTTTTCCCTTCGCGTCTCTCGTTTGCATAACACAAAATCACGTTGTTTGATTACGACGTTTGACAGCCGAGTACTAAGAGCCGGCCACCGGATCCGTTCATTACCGGACCTGTCAATATTTGCACTCGGTCCGGTCGTGTTCCATTGTTTGAAGCACGTGATGTCGCTTCCGGTCAAACGTGAAGGTATTTTGGATATTTTGACCAGATTGAAAGACTTCGGAATCCATTCCGGGCGCGATTTCTGGTAAGCCAAAAGCCAGGATCAAGATTGGCCCGCGATATATGAGCAGATTTCGCAGACTGTGCACTGTTTTACTGAGGTTTTACCGGAATCGAATAAGATAGAGACAGTTTTATGGTGATCGGATATCGTTCACTAAACTACACCAATGAATTCGCGATTTATGGGGCAAAAAAGACGCTTTATTATCACAAAAAGACAATGATACAATAGAGTCTAACTACAATAAAAAACATGCATTAATAGTGCGATCCGCCTCTTGAAGACTCGCATTTTGTGCCTCGGATTGCCGTATCCACGGTCTCCACCCACACTCGGAAGTTCGTCCTGTCATAATCAAGAGTGCCGTAGAGGAATACCGGCATGGTATTGGTCAATACCACGATCTTATCTTCCACAATTTTGACATCACTGGGATATATCATCTTTTCATCACTTCTTTGTACTAGGGAAATATCACTAAGAGGCTTATTGATATTCCAGCAACCCAAAGCGTTTTGATTTACCAAACCCAAGAAAAGGACTCCTTTGGATTGATGCAAATCCGAAGAAGACGTTTGGGAAAGTTCACCTTTGTTTCCAACAATCTGAAAAAAATTATTATTTTAAAATCTGAATATTTGCATACTCAAGGCTGACTCAAGAGGTGTGTAATCGGTGTATAACTTTTTTGGTATTTGATATTTTGACTTGTCGTTTTCAACGTCTGGTAGATCACTATTTAAAAATATGTTTACTATATACAGGGTGTTGTATGCAGGGTGATGAACCAAAATTATATTTTTTAAATAGAACACTTTATATATTTTTACATTAGGTATTCGTTTCTACGTCAAAAAATAATGGCACTTTGTGTAAATTAGTATAGCTCCATCTCTTTTTCTTTCTAATTAAGAAAATATATCTTTGATTCATTCCTCCTGTATACAATATCCTGTATATAGTAAAAATATTTGTAAATGCTGCACTTCAAGTAGATCTATCGGACGTTACGGTATGTCAATATATCAAATACCAAAAAAGTTAAGTAGTTCCTACCGATTACACACCTCTTGGTCAGTCTGTATGTGTGAATGTAGTAGGTAAGTAGAAAAAAATATAGGGGGCATGTTAAAAAATATACATGGCATGTTGTTAGAGACACCTCTCAAAAATGTATTGAAAACTCGATTGTTATACAGGGTGATTCTTAAATAGACCGACAAAATTTTATCCTTGATATCAAATGAGAACATGCTAGAAAAAATATTGAAAAAATTCTTTGTTTAACCGTTCTCCAAATAAAATTTATTAAAGTTATTTTCGAGGTAAAAACACTGATGTGTTCGTAAATAGTATTAGCGCAGGTAGTGGAAACCATGGTATTAATTTGATCAAAATGTACTTGATCATTGCAACAATTCATAAACGCCGTATAAGTGGCACGGATCAAGGGGGTTTTGCCCCTACAAAATAAAAACGTAAGAAGAGTACAGCTGTGATAATATTTTGTTGGTCTATTTAAGAATCACCCTGTACATATTTAACAAAATTATTAGCCCAAAACTGTATGGTGAAATTGGCAACACCGTCAATATATCGGTATATTCGCCGTACCTCTATTTTAATTGTTGTGAAATAAATTTGGTATATCTTACAATTTTTGTAACTATTGGTTAGCTGGCGCTAACTGAGCCTTAGTTAGGAGAATAATCGCAAATCCAAAGCATTTTATTATTACTTACACAATCTCAATATTCCAAAGCATATTCACGGTTAGAATACATATTTTTTAGCACATAATAACCCAAAACTGTTTTTAAACTAACTAGCTATCAATAACATTAACATTATTTAAAAGTTGATTCTTAACTATGTTGTCAGATCAATTTTTCGGCTTTCATGATCAATTTTGCCGATTACTACCAATAATTTTCAGTTTCATTGATGTAAAAGAGTAAAGGATTTTAAGAAATAAACAAAAATAATTGTCAACTTTACTTCTTCATATTGGTAAGGATAGTTGAGAAGGAATGTTTATGCGCCATATTGTATACATTTTGTCAACTTTATATTTTATGGAATGAACAATTTTGCTTGATTTTTGCAGAAAACTGTTTTTTTAATATAATAAAAAAATTAAACGTTGATTAATCGTTTCTTAGACAAAACTTACCTTAAAATCGCTTCCGTGGTACGACCTAGTAGCCAATTCTTCATTTTTCAAAATCCTTGTTGACACTTTGTACAAATTAACTCCTGCCATTGAATGGAAATAAGCATCTCTGAAGCCATCAGATTTTACGTCTGTAATAGCAATACTGAAAATTCCATCATTCCATTGAAACTCATGGCCTCCAATTGAAAATTCTCCAACAGTGTTCTCGAGGTAGAAATAGTTATGATTAACCCTCCACGCTTTATTTTGACTCAAACTATAAACAACCAACCCGTAACCTCCAACATCTGGGATATAAGCAAAAGCGTCTCGACAGTTATTATTAGTCATATCAATAGTCAAACTGGCTAAGTTTGAAGTGTTTCTGAGAAGATTTGCAGGAAATTGGTAATACTGGAGGACTTTGTCGGTTTTTAAGTCCATGATGACTAAAGCAGTTGGTTGGATTTGTTGAGGATTTCCTTAAAAAAAATATTTTTTTATCAAAATTTTCACAAAAAACTAATTTACCAGGAGTCTCAATCAGACCAGTGTCGACAAACCACAACCGGTCGCATAAATCCACAGCCACTCGATAAACAGATACAAATCTATACCCATCATCCCTGTTGGAATCCCTCGAATCTCTTAAAGTGTTAGTCTTCCAATCGGGATAGGGAATTAATGGTACATTATGCCTTTCGCTACTATTGGCCCAGACAAAATTCACCGTCGATGGTACCCCCATCCGCCTTCGAGGAACCGTTATAAACAACTTATCTTTCCAAAGATTAGCCCCCATCGGAATATTATTTTCTGCAATGACCTCGTCTGATAACACCCAAAAAATTATCTCCCGGAAAAACACTCACCATAGATATAGTCCGAATTGGTATCAGGCCTTTGTGTTGTTCTTCTTGTAGTTCGTCCAGGTCTCCTGGTGGTGTGTCTTTCGTTACTGTTGGTACTTCCGGGAAATGCGATGGGATCAGGTTTGGGAATATCAATATGAGAGGAGGAGTCCTGGCCCGGCCACACGTAGTTGATCCTAGTCCAGGAAAACTCCTCGTGGAGTCCTTTGCATGTTATTAGGGGAAAGATGCAAAGGAGGAGAAGTGACGGTTTGAGTAGTATCATGATGCGAACCATACGAGTGATTTTTGAGGACTAAACGAGAGATGTGTGTTGTAGTTGAGGAGGGAAGACTGTGGCGTGCGCGGTAATTAAGAAACACACAAAAATAAACAATATTATTATTGTTATATAAGTCGCTATCTGTTTGAACTCTGTCCTGGTTTAATTTGTTTATCTAAATGTCATTTTATTCTCGTGCCCTACACGTAACTTAATTTAAATTCTTCAGCAACGTCCGTGATTTTAATATAACCTTGTCCTTGTTGACGTCAATTTACACTAAAATATTCTAAGATTTTCTTCAACAGGTGTACAGCTATTACTCTGCTGACCTTGAGTAATTAATGATCTCATATTTGTCATAGCTGGAAGGAAAATTCTGCCAAGTATAGTACAATGCATCGATCCAAACCGTTGCATCAGTATGTATAAAGAACTATACAGCATTACCCCTAGATCAAGTGGCATAGATAAGGAAGCGATTGTTTCCTAGCAGTGGCAACCAAAAGTTCTTATCTCTTGAATTAAAGCGGGTTTTTATTTAATTAATGAGATACGTTATTAAGATTTACACTTATTAAGACGGTTTATTTAGTAGGTATGAATAAATTAGACGTGGAAATTTATAGAATAATTAAAGCACATAAATGGACAGTAAATTATATTTTTTTATATGTAATTAAAAAAATTATTTAAACATCTAACATTATGTAAGCATCCGACTCAGTGGCGTACCAAATGCTTTACCAGAAATTATATAAATATTTATAGGTGCAGTTTTGTTTTAATTTAATTTTTACCTTAATATGTAATATAAACTTACATTTATTTACACATACAGGAAGTATTATCTAAGATTTTTTTGCTCTCTGTTATAATTTACATTTATTTTACATTTTTAGAAAAGTATTTTCTTTTTCAAATTAATTAAAATACAAAGGCAGTTAAAAAAATCTACTATGAAATCTACTTTTGAAACAAAGGACGAACAATACCAGTCTTTTGTTATTAAATACGTGGAACATTTGTGTGTACGGAAACGAAGTTTCGTGTCAATTTTGCTATTTAGCAAAGAGAAATAAAAGAAATAAAAATACAATACAAAGTGTTTCTTCGTTTCGTTTTGTCAAAAGAAGGCAAATTTTTAAAACTATCTACAAACGAATGGTGGCTCTGTTTTGACAAAACACATGTAGTTTCAATAACGATTTTTTTTCTAGAAATACTTACTAAAATTCTCTCATCAGAGAAAAAACTGATGGAAATATTTTTATGAGGTCAAGAATGAATATTACTGACTATTCCATTCACCTCTCTTTTTTAAAATATTAACCAATACATTCTAGCAACAGTAAATCCTAGCAACAGTAAATTCAAGCGAATATTCCACTCGTGGTAAAATATAACTGGATATTCCACCAGAGATCGCAGTGAACTTGATTATTACCTGGTGGCTATGAAAATGAAATTATGTGTAACGCAACTTTGCCATTTGGTTCATTGAATAGTCTGTTGAATACAATTCGTAGTCAAAGATTGTAGAAGATTTATATTCATGGCCATTACGCTTGCGAACACCATTCGTGCTGCGCACTCATGGTGTTTATAAAGCGATGACCATTGAGTATACATATACAAAATGTGGAGATGTATGTAAAGACCATTTAGAAATTATAAAAATACTCCTAGAAGCCCATAATTTTTGTAAACAAAAGACAGAAGTGCTCTAAAGCACAAAAAATTTGGAAAACATTATCAGAGACTGTGACTTTAGTAAATTATTTAACTAATTAATGGTGTCTATTTTAGCATCTAGTGCCTTCTCTTTACATAGGTATAGATATAAAAAAAATCCAAGTGGAAAACAATTACCTACCCTAGTGTTGGTAATTAAAACACCAATTTAAGTTGTATTAGACAGCCGAAAAATATTTCAAGAATTCTAAAATAAAAATAAATATTTAAGGAAAATCTAAAGTCTGAGGTTGAGAAAGTTTATATGTCAGACTTTTCTAAAATTACATTCCAACAAATATCAGAACAGTTTTAAACGAATAAAAAATTTGCAAGTCTGTGAGTTCTACGATTTTTATAGAACCTTTGCGAATCCGATAGTGTGAGTCCTATACGAAGGGCGAGTGAGCCCCCAGCGCCAACATACATTTTTAAAAAACATTTGCAAATTTGAACTGCTTTGGGAAATTAGATAAAAGTTCAAAATAATATTTGTTGTTGAAACATTTTTTGTATCTACGTTTAAAAAATTTGAAAAGATAAAAAGCCGGACTAACCACAAGCCCATAAAACATACTAGTACATAAATTCACTTGAAGGAAAAAGAATTATGTACATAATTTATTATTCCATAAAACACAGTAATCATAATTATAATTTTATTTTTGAAACTTGAGTTATTTATTTGTTTATTAAGGTCTACTGTATCATTAAAAATATACTCCTATGTGTTAAAAAAAATTTCTGTTTTATTTTTATCTGGGTCTCTGATGTAGCCCGTTATACTCTTCAAAACCGTTTTGGTGCTGCTGATCCGTGAGAGTATCCTCAAGGATGTTCGTTGATAAATGCGAAGATAAGGCACCAGTTTAGTGTAACAATGCGGCTGCGGAGGTATCACGGCTGTGTCGTCCCCCATTGATCACGAGATTGCCATCCTCAAGCGGGAATTGATTCATTTTGGTACACCGAGACTTTATTCGATACGTTATTCCCTGGCATTTCCCATAAAAAACCTCACTAATCCAACCCAAGACAATCCATAATATTCCAGCAGCAACAGATCGACGAACAGAAAGGGGATAAACTATAACCACCCTCTTCTCATCTTGCGAATTAGTTGTTTAGTTTGGATGATCGAAAGCCTCTCCAACTTGGGTAGAAACATGAATTAATTATCTGACAGAGCTTGCGATCTCTCCGGAGGCGGAGGCTCCACAAACTTAACAGATCTCCTTCCGGAGACGCATGAAATATTCCGACGGAGTTTTTACGTGTGACGATTTTTTTTTCCGTGCAACCGGAAAAAGCATAGCAATTTTACTAATGTCGGAGGTAAAATGGCGAGTAATTAACGGAACAAGAAATGGAGGGTGAAACAATGAAAAAACAAGGCTTTTTCCAAATTAGGAAGACGGAAAATAAGGGGCGGATGGAAATCCGGAAGTAAAAAGTTGACGAACTTCCTAAAACACAGACACAAACTATACCTACAATTTTTACTGTAAAAATATACACGCTGGATTATAAAAAGCGCCCCGAGCCATAATTTCATTACTTTTATAGTAGTATAGTACAAATTTAACAGTTTTTTGTTATCAGTCGTTTGCTTGTTTTAAATAAAATGTAAAAAAAATGTTCTATTCTTTCTACGCCTACTTAATTTAATTTAATTTTCAAATTACCAAAAAACAAAAATTAGTGATAAATAATAAATAATTATCTTGATGAATGACAATTTAACGAGGAATCCAAAAATAATAAAATGTACAGGGTGTTCTATGTAAAAAACTGAAATTGATTTAGTTCCGGTGAAACAGATTCGATCCCAAACAATAGATGTCAATAAACTGCAAATTTATTATAAGAAGTAGGAATTGTCATATCTTTAACGCCAAATATTAAAAAAAATATATGCCTTTTAATATTTCACCCTGCACAAGAAATGAAACTTCAATTTTATTCTAATATTTAAAAAGATACTATCTCTTTTTTTAGTGGATGAGAAATTCAGGTTTTTGCACACTTTTCTCGTTAATTACCGTTTTAATTTGTCTATTTTAAAGTTTTCAAAACCCTGTTTCACAACTTAATTAAGTAGGTTAAATTTTAATGCCTTAGTCAAATTAATTACACATCATAAACCTGAAATCCAAGGTAAAAACAAACCATTCTGAAAATAACTTTTATTGCCTTCTTAGTTTCCCCTTTTCCTATATCTATACCTAATTTATTTTTACCCATTTCGCACCTCCGTATTTTTCCTCGTTCCTTAAACAGATCCGCACCAAGAATCGAAAAAATTCAATATGAAACGCAATAACACGCGTGTAGAACATTAGCCCCCGTCATGTGCAAGCGTTGCTTTAGATGAGGCATTGATTTATGCCCCGCCGGGTCGGATTGCAGCATGTCGTTTATTAGTAAGCGTGTATTAAGGGTGTTTTACTTCGAAATCTTCCCCATAAAAAACACTCACCCCCCGGTTTATTCAAATAAATCCCCTTTCCCTTTCGATTATCCCTCCCCCACTCATAATTCCGAGCAACCCTACCAAAAAAACAAATTCGCATCAGTGAAAAAATCGACACATTTAGCGTCTTATCCTGAGAAGAAACGCCAAACAATACGCTTACAACGTCGTCTGGAATCTAGTCGCTTTGCCTCTGAAAACAGCTGAAAGTAGCTGAGTGGAGTGGGGATGAGGGGGTGGCTTGGTGTGTGGCATGTCAGGGGAGGGACTAACCACGGCTAGGCCTCAAAAACCACGTCTGGGATTGGCTATATAGCGTCTCACTTCTACCAACGTCGGCCAACGGAAAGTGTCTCTTTTTCGCACGAACAGAAGCGCATCGTCGCCTCTCTTGCACTCTATCCCGGTTACACCTCAACAAAACCCAACTAGCTTTCTTCATCACCTCATTTGCCCACGAACAGGGCCGGAATAACGCCCTTTTCACAAGCAACAATATAAATATTTAAACATATGTAATTTAGGAGATAAAAAATATGTGTTTATATATATCATGTATTTAACATTAAATTTGAAAGAAATAAGCTTTCTAATGATGCCCCATATGAGCAATTTTTTTATTTTAAAAAATCAAGTTGACTTTGTATTTCAAAAAACTTATAAGTAGTTTGTTTTTTTTTTGAGTTTAAGTATTTTTAAAATTCTAAGAGTAGCTAAAACCATTTTAGCAAGTTTAAACCAATTCCATACATCGCAGCAATATATATATTCATTATTTAGCCGATATTATCGATTTTTTTTTTATTTAATTTAATAAATTAAAGCAATTCTTAATAAAAAATAACCC